CGTTACAGTTTCAAAAACGACCTTCTCTTGGCTGTTGATGTACTCGTGTATCGCGGAGGATAAGACCATTTGTTTTGTCTCCCCAAGGTTTGACAAACCTACGCACCGCTCCACATAGAGGCCAGGTTTCGAAGTTGGTTGGTTGATAAACGGATATGCCGGCAGGGACATTCCAGCGGGACGTGGACGGAGTGGAGGGCAATCCTGGATATTTGTGTTCATTGTGGGATGACCTGGACTGGGGATGATCTGGTCCGAAGAATCTCAGACTAGATGGGAAAATGGCCGGTCCTTCATCGGTGTGTCTGACAGGAAACTCAATTCTTATTGAAAGTAAAGAAGCCACCGGAATAGTTTGCACTCCCTCCCTGATTGAATACTCTGGAGTTGGTGTTACGGTACGAGTCACCTCGAACCAGCTATTCTCTGTTAGTAACAACAGAATGAACAATGAGGTTCCAGGAATAGGTGGAAAGGAAATAGACATCGCTGGGAAAAATCAATCATCGGTGAAATAGTGTACCTTTGTTTGGAAAGCTGACGGAAATGCGACGTATACTCTGCCGCATGATTGCTCAACGGAACTGGATCCCCACCGCAAACACCAGGACTACCTTGAGCAATGAATGTATCATTCCCAATGGTTGGATCCTGGTTGGATCAAAGGGCAAAGACTTTTATATACGATCGGCTACCACATGAACCATTAGCGATGATATCAGATAACAAACGACGCCGACAAACACACTTACCAGGCGTCCATTAACCAGAACAACGTTTGTATCGTTGATACACTCTACCAAGCAATCCTCATTCGCAGGTATCAAGTCGACCCTGACTCGTCTCGCAGAGTGCGTCAACCGTGATAGACAATCGACTATCGGCACGAACAAGTAGCACTGGTGATAACAATGACGTAGGCAACACACTGACCTGGGTATGGATTCATCGAACCGTTGGACGGATCGATGATTGCTTCATTGACTTTTCAATGAGTATATTGTCGAGGCCGTTCTCCAAATTCCACCAAGTCGACATCTTCTGTTAGCGTACATCGTGGCTTTGTCATGTATGATCGACTATGAACATTCACAATCAGTCAATGACAGTCATAACAAATCCCTTAACAAACCCACTTACTCAGATGGCCATTACCCTAGTACGTGGGGTGGGGAATTGTTGTTGTTTCATCGATCGTGGCCGATGCCTCCGACAAGGACCAATCTCATCTTCCACCATGAAGTCCACGTCTTCGGTTTTCCACCACATACCGAAGCAACCACGGAATGCCAATTCACAACAGAAGGCTTTCAGATCGCCTAGTCGAGTATCCCTGCGGAAGTCAAACTCAGGGACGCCGAACGTCGAGGGAAGGCAGTTTATCTGTGAACTCTCCAGGCATGTCACGCGGCATGAAGAAGCTCCCTCAACGGAAAGGGACGAAATTGAAAACCGTCTGTCCGACGAGCCAAGGCGTGCTCAACCAGAAAAATGTAAGGAGCAGTGCAAGGAAGGTCGATCAACAAGCAACCCCAGGGCAGATCCATAAGCATGATACCTAGCCCAGCAAGCTATTCTGGGTCTGCCGAGTACCTAGCCCAGGAGGTTAGCTAGCTTGTTCAAGCAGTTGACATCTCCACACTCACCTGATGTTCATGTCACAGTTTTGGGTAGCGACCCTGACGGTAGGCCAAGGATGTATTTCCAACCAGCCCTTCAATATCCACCACCACAATCACATACACCGAGGACCCTACGTCCTCTGTCTCTCTGTGGTCCCGTTGTCCACCCACCACTTTGTGCTGGGTTTCAATCATATCATCCAAGCAATGGTAGGCAATGCAGAGTTGGTCACCACACCAATGTCAATTTTCGAGGGTACGAGAATGGGAATGGAGTGGAAACAAGGATATATTATCAAGAGGATGCAAGAAAAAAGGTCAGAGCAGCAGCCTGTGCCATCAAGAAAAGTAAAAGACGTGCGTAATCACCATGCTAGGTGAGCAGCATCGCATGAGGGAAGGGATTCTGGATAAAGAAGAGAAGAAAAATGTGACAGAGGGCAGACAGAAGATACATGCAGTGTTCAGCATGGCACAGGCGTACATACGGCCAGACAGCCGGTGATGGGTGGTGGGTTACATTGTAGCATGTGTCTCGATGCAGCTCGTTGGGATGACCGACTAGTGTGGGACAAAGAGAAGAGTTGAAGGAGGTATATATATAAACGAAGAGGAGAGGAATAAAAGGAAAGATGGACAATAAAGAGGAAGGAGTAACCAGAGGATCGACTCGCTTTATATCACAAATCTACTGTAGGTAACCATCAATCTAGACCAGCCCGTCGGCCGAATCCGCAAAAACGTACGATTGACATGGACTAACATGGATAGAGACAGCTGAGATGACTCAAGACGCAGCTACCCATAGGCAGTACGTAAAAATTTTCAGGTATATGCAATTATATGTCGTCAGATCATGTACAGGTCCACCACCCATTCCTACACGGCCGGCGCCTCCCACGAATCTCGTTTGATCTTCATCACGGCCGACTGCTTATGAGGGAATGTAACCTCACCTTCCTTGTAGAAGCCCGATCGCTGGAGATAGTCAATGACCCTAAACTCGGTTAGCAACGTTCAACAGACCCAACCAACTCCCACACCAACGCAAACTCACTTGACATTGTCCACCCGTGGTTCCAACATGACCGTCTCCGTGCGCAGATCCGACAGCCAACACCAGTGCACCAACGCATCAAGCCAGATGGCAACTCGGTGGGCTCCTCGGAACTCCTGCTCGCCCACCAACAGATGGATGCCCCGATCGTAGTTACCCGCTCCCCCAATGAGCGGGCCCAGACGGTCCTCCTTGACCCAGTAAATCTCAAAGTACCCAAACGGCTTGCCGTCCCAGCATCCAATCACCGGGAAGCTGTTTCGGCTGCTGAGGTTGTGGCGCAAAAACTCCTCCTGTTTTTCGATCGGGCCGCCCTCCCCCCAAGATGCATTCACCCGCGGGTCATTCATCCACTTGTGCAGCAAGTCCAGGTCGGACGGACTGTCCCCAGGCGGCGCAGCGGCCGGGGGCCCTCTCGTTTTGGCCGAAGGCAGATAAGGCACCCGGAAGGACAGATACTGCTGCACGCTGGGGATATACCGCACGTAGAACACCTCGCCCTGGTGAGGCGGCTTTGGCCGAACAGGATGCCGCACTCCATTCGTGAAGATGTACTGGGTGGGCGGGGGCGGGAAGTACGTCGGAAGATGGCTCCCGGAGGCATACGGCCCCTCACTGGGTGCGTAAGGGGCTAGGGCCTCCCCTGTGGTACCATGAGCCTCGGCTAGGTACATACTGTTGCGGGCGGGGGCAAAGGTGTGCGCAGAGGACTGCGGAGTGAGGGTGAAGAGAAACAAGCGGGGATCGAGTTGCCAGAACGAGCGTCGGCTCACAAACATCGAGCCCCAGATGTCTTGGTCCGACGGGTCCGCGCCGACGCAGGACGCCTCGCTGGTGATGATGCCCATCCGCTCAAGCTTCTGCAGCAAGTTGCGACCCTGGAAGATCCCCTCCCGTCGGATGTAGATGCGCCAATCCCCTTTTGGCCGACCAGATGGGGGCGTGTTTGCTGACGCCTCCGTTTGCATATGCGGATTGGGTTCCGGTTCGTGGAAGTACCACCACAGGGTGACCCAGAGCATCATCGCGATCTGACGGGTCGGTGAGGTGGGCGGCTTGTAGTCGCTATCCGAAGGGTTGATCATGTACGAGAGATAGAGGCTGTCATCGCGCAGCGTCGGGGAGACGAATTTGCCCTGGGTGCGACCTGTTTCGCGGTCCTCTGATTCCCCGGCCCCCTCCCCATCCTGGGCGGCTTGGTCGCCGTGGTGTTTGGTGGAGAGGACAATATTCCAGCCCGGCGGCAGAATGGAGCTGCTGGTGTGCGCATCCTTCGACTTGAACATGACGCCACCAAACACGGGTGTGACAGTGAAAAGCTGCCCATTGGGCAGGTGGCACGTATTGTGTCGCATGATGGACGAGTGCGATGAGAGGGGATGGAAAACAACCAGAGCGAGAAATTGGGATGCTGCTGGGCAAAGAGACGATAGGAGCGGTAAGAGGAAGAAAGAGAATGGAAAGGGGGACGGGGAGGACCACAATAAAGAGCACAAGAGCGCACGACTGCTTGGTCGAGCAGGTTGTGATTGTGGACTGATTTGTGTCGCTCTTTGCCAACTTGGGAGGTGACGTAGACCGGCCGCCTTCCCAACGGGGCTTAGCGGCTGTGTGTGCGGAGGGGCAGAGCGCTGACTCAGCCCTGCCCCTCCATCGGATACGTCATGTGACCACTGATCGTTATCTGATAACATCATCCTTGATCAGTCCTGTACGGAGTACAAATTCGACATTCATTCGACTTCAGTTTGATTTCAATTTGTCGATTTGATTTCAGTCACGACTCATCCTAGAATCCTGATTACGCAGGCTACGTGGAGAATAATTGGCAAGCAACATGATAATATTGAGCAATCTGGGAGTACATAATTTAACACGACATTAATGAGGATTATAACCAGCAAAAAAAAAAAAGCCAAAGAAATATAATAAAGGCCACGAGTCAATCCTGCGGAAGGAGACATCAGAACCGGCCAACAGACAGAATAAAAAAAACATGCACCCATCGTAAACAGGTGTGATGATAGAAACAGTATCACTAACTAAACAATGGCCCGTTGATCGAGACCAGACACAAAGGAAAACTTTTTATCCCGTCAGCAGTGCCATCATCGGTGATCCCATTGCTGGATCCCGATTGCGACTGCTGACATTGGGAGGGTGACGCGAGGCATCCAAGCCCCCGCCCACCACAGAACCAATCCCATAACCAAAAGATCAAACAGAAACAGCATGGTACACAACGCTATCACAAGGCGAAATCAAAACCGACTTTTTTTTTTGGAGGATTTTATAATTGTTGTGCTTTTTCTTCTTTCAGCTTAAACCTGGGTTTGAGCTTGAGCCATAGCCTTCCAGTACTGCTCGCGCTGTTCAGCCTCCTCAAGAGACTTTTCCAGTTCGGCAATGCGACGCTCCATGACGTCTTGTCGCTCCAGCTTGCGAGCACGAGACTTTCGGGCAGCCTCAGTGTTACGAGCTCGCTTCATGGCGACGGGGTCACACGAGTCAAACTTGATGGGCGGCAAGGGCTTGCGCTGACGAGCATTGACACCAGCCACGGTGGATGGCTTAGTTGCTTGGCGAGAGGAAGGCGACGGAGCACTGGAAGGCGACCTGGCCTTGGGAGAAGGCATGGGAACCTCTTCCGTCTCCTGGGGCTTGGGGGCGGCAGCGGGGGCCACGTCCAAGGTCGTCGAGTCGAGTGGCAAGGCAGGGAAGGCATCCTGAGTGGGGAAGAGAGAATCCCACTCCTCATGACCAGGAGCCAGCTCCATGTCCGTTGCGAACATGGGGGAGGTATCTTGGCTGAAGTATCCTGGCGAATCGAACGAGGGCGTGCTGAGGTCGGTGAAAGAAGTAGACGGGGGAGCGGAAGCATCCATGAGCAAATCCTTCGGCGAGATGGTCCCCGGCGGGGCATCTGCCATGGCCTCCTTGGGCGCCATGATGCCGGTAGGAATCTGCTGGGGGGAGAGCATGGACAAGTCGAAGTCCGCCCCGAATTGGTCGGTTGAGAAATCAAAGAGATCGGGAAGATCTACAGAATTAGTCTGGGTCTGGGATAAGGCCAAAGACAGCGAGAGCAGCGCGAGCTTACCGTGAGCCATGTTGGGCGTAGACATCATGCGATGGTGATGTGTCGGGTGCAACTGCTGATTCTGATAATACGAAAGATGGGTGGGACTGTGGAACAAAGGGACGGGTGGGCGATTCAAAGAGGCGGAATTCGGCGCAGAATTCGAAGCCACAGAGGCAGCGTGAACACGCAAGAGGTGCTTCCGACTGGAGGGACTAGACCGATGAGACAAAGACTGAGGGAACCCGGTAGACTGCGAGGCAAGTCTGGCGACACGGGGAACCTGAACTGGCGAACTGGCAAGTTGCCGAGGCTGCTGCGGCTGATGTTGCTGCTGCGGCTGCTGCAAACTGGAGGATTGTCGTCGAGGAAGGTGCCCGGAACGAACCAGAAATGGATGATAGGCGGCTAATCTAGGGGCTGTACTCGAGGGTACTGGAGCAGAGAAGTCCCTGGGTCGAGGCTGAGGACAAGGGGGATATAGAACGAAGTCCTCCTGCGGGGAGCTGTTGTTGTTGTTGACGTTGGAATTCGATAACTGAGCCAAAGGCTGTGGGGGCGGGGGTGTTGGAAGCCATGGTTGCTGGTGGTTATCCGTGTTGAACGACGTGACGTCGAACGAAGAAATAGTGTTCGGGGAACTTGAGCTACGCGATGCGCTGCTGAAGTTCAGAGGTCCTGGGACAGGAGACTCTGAAGGAGAAAGAAGAGGGGAGAAAATAGAAGACGAGGTCCGTGAAGGATCTATGATGTCTGTCTCGGAGGAGAAAGACGGGCTCTTTCCGTTAGACGGATTTAGAAGGCCATTTTGCAGTAATAACTGGTATGCAAGGTCTTTGTCAAACTGAGAGTGTATGGTGGCGGCTATCCGCGATTAATCTAGAGCAGAGTAGATGAAACAGGATAGTGGTGTGTAGTGGTGAGATGATGAGAAAGAATAATAAAGATGGAGTAGACAAAGAAGAGGGAAGAAAGGGAGAAGGAAGAGCGCCAGGCAGCGACGGGGAATCAGGCACTTCTTAAACTCGAGTGTGCGCCCGTGGACCGGACCGGCAGCCAATGACCGGCGGGGGGAGTCTCCGCCTGTCGCGCTAACCGGAAGGAGGCAAGGCGCGGCGGTGAACGCGGTCAGCAGGTGTGACTCATATCTTTCGTGCCTGCGGATTGGCCCCGTCCGCCCGAGGGGTGCCCCAGGCATGCCGTCCTCTTGCTAGGTACTACGGAGTAGTCTGCTCACTACTTGCGCTGACTGAAACCGCTGCCTTTGCCATTGTCCAATAACCGCCCATGCCTCCTAGGCATCAACCTGCGAAGGGGATGTGCCGTGCATGTCGCCGGCTGGCGCACAGCCTCTCTGTCGGGGTCTGTTTTGGGAGTGTCGGGGAAGACGCATGGAGGAGCCGCAAGTGGGCGGATGACTAATCCTGCGGGTGTTGGTGTCCTCGAAGGGCGCGGCCTCAAACCCGTTCGGGCAAGGCCACCTTCCGTGCCATCCGCCTTTCTCCTCTTTGCTCTTACAGAGTAACTCCAGAGTGCTCCTGCGCTGACGAAAATGACAGTTGGACATATCAACGAGGCTTCCCTCGAGAAAGCGAGGAATGTGAGACCCAATTCCTGCAATACTCGGAATACACTGTTCGTGTACGGAGTATAGGATGTACCATGGACTACGAGTATGGACTATGGAGTGCAGACTCGGACAACGATCGACATGCGCGACAATTCATGATTGGGTCCAATCCAAAGGATCTCGATAATAACACGAATGACAAACAGCCCTAACTCCCTCAGAAGTCAGAACGTCGCACTCTCCGTCTTAGGAGTCCTGACATTCCACTATGACTGATCCATTTAGAAGTAAGTATATTAATCCCCTCTTCCCCTTTCCAACACTCCCTCAAATGAAAGACCAATTCCCATTAATAATACCAGTTACAACCAAGTTCCAACGGAGACTCTCCTATCTGGATCTCTACTCCTGCTCCTGTAAGCAGAGTTTTTCAGGTGGAAAAGGAATACGACCGGACAAATGAAAGCAACCACGGTTCCTGCGCCCCTCGCCTAAAAAGCCCGCCGTCCAACTTTAGCCCGCCGAACCAAGGTTTTAACCGTTTAGCATTGAGAGAATTTCAGAATTATCAATTCCCCCAAACCCTAGTGCCGTTCGTAGTGCCTGGAAGTTGAAGATGACGAGCACCGGGCCGGTCGAAATTATTAATGCTGGTTGATCCAGGCAATCGCAATTTAAATACTTCTCGAGCATGGGAAATTGGCCAGGCAGAGTAATAATACAACGGAGTAGAATCCATGTGAAAATCGAAAATCAGAAAGACAGGCATGAAAATGAAACCCGCGCATTGAGCGCCTAATTCCGAATTACCTCAGTCAAGAATGTGAAACTAAACGGGGACGCATTTCTCGGGTTTTTCCGTCGAGGTTGCTCCCGATCCCTAGCAAGGGCAAGCAGAAATGTTGTCCGTCCGTAGTCCAACTCCGTCCGGAGCCTACCTAGGAGGAGATAATGCTTTATCCCCGGAGAATGACGCTCAACTCCGGTTTGCACGTCCACCTCCCACCTACATATCCAGAACCCGTTGTCAATAATAAATAAATAAAAAATCAATAACCCTATCCTACTGTAAATTCCCAGCCAAATCAAGGAACCACAGTACCCCAATCTCGTAAAACAACAAGTCCCATGATCGATTTAGACTGCAGAGGCTTGCCGATTGATCTCTTGACTCTTGACTATTTCGTCCGCCTGCACGACGTTGTGCCCTGGTTTCGGTTGATGACGTAGTTTACTAACTAACGTCTTACTTGCACGGTTGCACCGGCATTCGAAAATTCAACATTATTAATCTTCGCTCTTGGTGTACACCGGAGTAGTTAGAGCCGCAGGGTTGTGATATCTAAGCCACGCATGTTATATAACTAACTAACTAGTTACCTAGTTCAGTTGACTACTGTACATTGGTACATTGGACTGGACTGGACTATCTTATCATGGGTATTATAGCATGTGCTACATACCGTATCCTTGATGTCCGTGTACATACCTAGGTACATAGGATGGATCTGGACATGTGAACACTAATAACTACGTAAGTTGCTAACACGAGCTGCTGTGGTGTTTTAGTGCTCTATCGATTAAGCAGGTTTTTGCTCTGAAGATATATAATTATATATACTTAAGACGGATAGTGCGGGTCATCCGGTCTCCCACGGAAGCCAATACAATAGACATCCCAAGCGCCGAGGGACTACAATGACCGAGAACGATCCAAAGAACAAACAATACACCTCCATTGATACTCTGATCGATCTCATTTATCTGGAGCATTTCATCAGTCACTTGATCCATGTTCTGTTTGCCTTGCCTGCAGTACCTCTAGTAATGATGTCCATGCAAAGATGGGGGGGGGGGTTTTTTTTTTGGACCACGCGAGTGTATCAGCATGATCGCAAATGATAAAAATCATATCAAGTTAGTTTAATTACTTGATGATGGATTCGAATGATAGCATGAAAGAATTCCAACTCGAATTTTTTGTGACGGTCGCGTGTGACTTGACATTCGGAGGTCGGATAGGTGAACCGCACCTAGCACGCCTATCAAACTGCAGATGATTAAGTAGAGCCGTCAAGGAACGGACATACGGACTAAATAAGGTACCTAGCGGTGTGCATGTCAATGACTAGACATACTCCATAGCCATATGGCAGATGCATGCCATATCCATTGACGTCCATCGACCCATCCACACCGCATCCACATGGGTCGGAGTGGAGAGTTGCAGATCCAATTGAACTACGGAGTAATACCCTCCACCACGTTGTACTTGACTTAAAATCAATGCTGAAGAATCAAATCTATTAATTATTACCTATGATGCTAGAAAGGTATGAAACTATGGTACCATCGGCATGCTAGACACACCAAGACCACGCAAGCATACCGCACCGAAGTCGATAGTTCGGTCAATCCGAGTGGTGGGAGGATCCAACATGAAGTACCAGGGTCCCATACCATCACCCTTCCTCCCACAGCAGGGTATCAAAAAAGCAACAGACGAAAAGCATCAAACGGCGAAACAAAACATAAGCTCAGTATAAATCAGAAAAACAAGTGGTATCAATCTAGTTTGGACGGCGCACAGCATGAACACGCAAGACCGACCCAGGCCTCTCTTGCGCGAACGGATATCATAAAAGGAATGAAATTCGGTCTGATGCCGAGACACCAGGCCGGAAAATGACCGCCAAAGCAACACAGGGTATCAGTGACACTCTCCGGCAGACCCCTTACAACAAGGATACCAAAGAAGCGACAGAACAAAACAAAACAGATCAATAGGTATAACGCATGATCCTTTTTTTTTCTTTTTAGGTTTCCGTTTCATATTCCGATCGTCAAGTGACGACCAAAGCAGAGGATGGGGACACGAAAGTATTAAGCCCACCATCGCTCATACTCAACAATCCGCTCGGGAGGATTTCAAGCAGCAGCCTGGACGGGAGCAGCGGTGGAAGAAACGTTGACGGGCTTAGACTCCTCGGTGGCGGGGGTCTCAGCGGGCTGGGCGCTCTCCTCAGCGGGAGACTCCTCAACGGTCTCCTGCTTGGGGGCAGCAGTCTCGGGCTTGGCCTCGGTCTCGGTGGCAGTGGCCTCCTTGGGGGTCTCAGACTTCACGGCCTTGCTGGGCTTGCGGAAAAGACCTCCGAGCTTGTTACCCTTGGGCTTGGCCTCGCCATCGGTTCCCTCGTTGTCGGAGTCACCCTTCTTCTTACCGAAGTTACCGAAGAAAGAGGTGCGGCGCTTGTCCTTGGGGGTCTCCGCGGCAGGGGACTGAGCGGGAGTGGCCTCCTTAGCGGCCTCACCCTCAGCAGGGGCAGTGACACTCTCGGGCTCGATGGGCTTCACAGCAGCCTCCTCGACAGGGTTGTCGAGCTGAGGAGCAGTGCTGGCGACAGCAGGAGTCTCGGCGGGAGAAGTGGCCTCCTTCTCCGACTTCTCGTGAGAGGGGCTGGTGACCTTCTGGAAAAAGTTGCCGAAGAGAGAGGTACGCTTGGACTTCTCGGCCTTCTTTTCCTCCTTCTTTTCCTCCTTTTCTTCCTTCTTCTCCTCCTTCTCCTTCTTGTCGGCAACCTCAGCGGGGGCGTCGGTAGGAGCCTCAGTAGCAGGGGCAGCAGCAACAGCAGGGGCAGCCTCAGAAGCCTCGGCAGCGGGAGCAGCAGCCTCAGCGGGAGCCTCGGTGGAGGCCTCGGCGGGCTTGGCCTCCTCGACCTTCTCCTCCTTCTTCTCCTCGCCTTCCTCCTTCTTTCCGAGGAGAGTTCCGAACAGGCTGGTTCTCTTGCGAGACTGAGAGCGGCTCTTGGCGGTGGCCTTGTCCTTGGGCTCCTCAGCGGGGGCAGTTTCCTCCTTCTTGGCCTCCTCCTTAGCCTCGGCAGGCTTGTCGGCGGGCTTCTCAGCAGGCTTAGCAGCGGCGGCGGCGGTGGCAGGCTTGGCTGTGGCAGACATTAGCATTCACTCACTTCGTGCACCGGCTCATATATTAAACTTACTCAGCTTCTCAAGCTCGGCCTTGTAGCCCTCGCTACCGGTGATGGCCTCCTTCTCGGCCTTAGCCTCAGCGGTCTTGGCCTCAAGGGCGGCGACCCAGCTGTCACGCTCAGCAGCGCTCGTGGCCTGGAAAGTGTGCTTGTGTCCGTTGACCTTGAACAGGAACTCGTTGCTACCCTCCTTGGTGACGTCGGTGACATCGGCCTATCCAATATTAGCACATTCCCATATCACCTTGCGCACGCGACAAACTCACCAAGTTGAAGATACCAGCGGGGGTAGCCTTGTCCTCGGCGCGCTTGGTGAAGAAGAGCAGACCCTTGCCGGTCTGGCTAGCCCAGGCGGCGATGGGGTTGGCAACGGCAGGCTTCTCGTTCTGGTGGAAGATGGACAGGTTCTTGGCCTCGACAGCCTCCTCGCTGAAGTAGAAGAAACGCTTAGAGAAGCGCAGACCCCTAGAGAAAACAAAATCGTCAGTAACCTAGACCCTGCTGATCTGTAACAATATGAATGCGCTTACTTGACGAGACCAGGGGCCTTGTGGCCGAGCACGCCCTCGGACGCAGGGGTCACCTCCTCCTTCTTAGCCTCCTCCTTGGGCTGCTCAGCGACATCCTCCTTCTTGTCCTCAGCAGCAGCGGCGGGGGCAGCCTCGGTGTTCTCGGCGGCAACCTCCTTGGGGGCCTCAGCAGCAGGAGCCTCCGTGGCGGGAGCCTCGGTGGCAGCGGGCGCTTCAGTAGCAGGAGCAACAGCAGGAGCGGCGACAGGCGTCTCCTCAACAGGCTTCTGGACGTCAGACATGGTGATTAGGTAGATATTATAGTATTGGGTTGATTAAAATAGATGGTAATAGGGAAGCTGGCGAAGCTTCGTAAAATAGGCGTCAAGGTCGAGCAGGGTATCTCTGAAAAGGAGGGGGGTATCTCAACAAGCAACAAGAGCTTTCTAAGCACAAAAGGCTAGAAGAGCTCGGGTATCACAACGAAAGGTAAAAAGGGTTTGAGGGAGTGAGAAGGGAAAAAAGAAACGAACCAAGGTCGTGTGGTATGGAATGGAATGGGGAGAGAGAAGAGAGAGAGAAGGAAGAAGAAGAAAAAGAAGAGAAGAAAAGAGGGAAAAGGGAAAAAGAAATTGACGGCCGCAGAAGAAGGAGAAGGGGCGAAATGGCATAACCCTCCCCCCCAAAAGAGCAGAATAAACCGGACGCAAAGACAAGGGTGTGGACAGCAGCGGCGCCCAGAAGGGAAAGGAGCTGCAGGGCGGCCAGCCTAGACAGAAAGAGGGGTGGGTCCTCGGAGAACCACCCAAGGTACCTTTTTACTTTTAGAATAAGGGGTGGCCCCATCCTTGGATCATAGGAGTACTCAGTACCTATACTACTGTAGGTTCAGTACACTTCTGGAGACTGACTGTAGGAATTTTTGTTCACCTGCATCTCACGATAATCGCGAACATGAAACCGCCCATTATTGTGCAGAAATTTTTTCCCTTATTTCTGATCAATTAACCCGGGCGGGTTTAGAACACGAAAAGAAATTGACACTAAATTAGACCAAAAAGATTAATAAATTAAAAACAGCAGAAAATTCAACACCAACAAGAAAAGGAAATGAAAACGAAAATAAGGATAGTCATAAGAATCGTCACTCCCCCCATCAAAAAATGAAAAAAGGAGTCGGGAGAATAACAGTCTAACAGTAACTATGACAGCTAAAAGCAGTTCTCCTGCTCCTGCTAACTTTACCGGTCGTGCAGATTAGCTAACTAACGGCTCTAGCCCCTCTCCTTTTCTCCCCCTCCTGAAAATTTCATCCGAGTTTGATGATCATTAAAATTTCTGCCTGACACTGGAAGTACTGTCTGCGATAGATTGCCAAACGATCAAGATGCATATTAACGGCGGATTAAGAGTCAGCATTTCCGATCGCCTTTGCAGACGGGGTGAATCAAGAAAAGGCAATGTAACATGGTAGGACAAGCCAAAACAAAACACACCCAAGTCAGCAGGACCTGCTGAGCTCACCGCGGTGGGACATCCATGAACCAGCCACCCATTCGGGTTGGAACCATGGTCCCCTTTTCAGATCATCCCGAACATTTCGAACTGCGTGGTTGAGTCATACTCCGGGAGTAGGCCCAGTATTCTATCATTAATTCATTACTGAGTAGGATCATAGATCATCGGTTAATAGGGACGAATAGCGTCGCTTGAATAGATAGTAATAATTATATCGATCGATCTTATAGTTGTGGATGTCTGTCTTCATACTTCGTACTGTACTCCGACAGAGGAAAAGGGAGAAGGGAGAAAAAAACCAAGCGTGACCCTGGCTCCACCCAATGATCTCGATTCTCGCCCCCTTCTGACTAAAATTCCCGTGTTCTACTTTAGCCCTTTGTCGACCAATTTTCCTCCGATAGTCTGAGTCGGACTAGAAACTGGATAAAACTTCAGCAAGAAACCTTCAGTAAAACAAACCAGTATGTACGGAGTAGTAACTATGTAGTACAAAATAATCAACGGCCGATAACAAACTCTCAAACAACAGGAATTTCCATCCGGATTTCTGACAGCCCAACGCCCGTCCATCCATTCCTCCAACCTTACCGCTGGACAAAAAGATGTGCAGAAAAGCGTCGCGTGGACGGGTCTAACGCACAATAGGCCCCGTGACTCGGACGCCGGGACCAACCAGCGAGGAGTCTACCCCTCCATCAGGGGATGATGTCTTTTTTTTTTTTTTTTTTTTTTTTTTTTTTTTTTTTTTTGGTTTCTCTAACCCTTTCAAGATACATTCCTTTCTCTTCTGTGTATGGAGGGGTATATCTTATGATTCTTATCGTGAATGCTCTGTACGGTGTACAGGGGATTCCATTGTTCTATTGGTATTACACACGACGTAGTTAAAAGTTAGCCCTACTTTATGAGTTCCCTTATCTATAGCCATACAATATTGTATAGTATATCCAACGAGCCCAAAATTAAGCACAGTAACGTCCATGAGGCCAGAGGTCAGAAGCCAGAAGTCCATACCCTCAATAGGAACTCCATTAAACTTTCCAAGTACGGAGTAGGTTGACTGACTGTTTGACATGGAATGGAAGATTCTAGTTTTCTTGGTCCTTATGTCTCTGATCGGGATAACCTCGTTATAACCTACCTACCTACCAACCTACCTAGTTTCACTCTGACGGTGATTCTTGTTTTGAAGGATCTAGAAACTTTTTCTTGTCCCTCTTACTTTCTTTGGTTGATTACTTGGCCCTACATACCGTATGTAGTAGGCACTACTCCGTACACCGTGTAGGTAAACTAAAGCAAAGGTGGGAACGGTAACATAGAAAAAAAAATCAAATAAAAATCCGGAAAAGCGTTATAGTTACGGAGTAGTTACATGCTCAGACTCGGTTAACTTACGTAGACATCAACCCTATTAGGAAAAGGAACGAATACGATCCCTACTCCCTAGGTAAGGCCGCAACTCGAAGAACAAAAGAATTCAACCCAAGGAGAAGAACGGGTACGAAAAAAAAAAAAAAAGATAGTCCAAGGATTGACTTAGACTAGACTGCTCGATAGCTAGTTAGCTAACGGACTAGACCAGTAGTAATCTAGTATAGCAGGTTATTAGCGCCGTGGTGGATGCTTGCAGAGGGAGACCCACTTGGACGGCGCTATTGTGCGGCAGCCCTATCTCAAGTCCTACTATGTAATGTACACGGTGTACTCGACTTACGAAGTACTCGGGGGGCTGTAGCCTTGCGTGTAGTAAGTCAGATAGATACTATAACTATAACAGACGTAGGTAGTTGAAGGGGCGAAGTAAGCATACACATTTATGGATCCATCTACATACACATATACCGTATACACCCACCCTATTCCGTAATACTAACTACACCGTATACTCCCGTAGTCTGATATATTCCCGGTAACTAAACTAAACTAGCCACCCAGTCCACTCCCAGTACTCTCCACTCCCCCTTTTCTCCCACAGACCGTTTCGAGACTCACCCGACACGATGCCCGGTCCTGGCCAATCAGGCCACCGTCGATCCCGCCCATCTGATGATCGCTGGCTGGCCTTGGCCCGTGTCTTGATTTCCGGTATGATTGGGATATGCGCGGGCGGGTTTCATCGTCTGTTGTTCGGAGGACGATGCGCCGATTATTTTTATCTACTGCAGTTATCATTTTGGAGGATTTCATTGCTATTCCTATAGTAAGCCAACTACGAAGTATCAGAATATGATTGGTATCGGTCCCTTCGAATTCCCTCATATCCAGATCCTCCTGAGTAGATGGCGCCATGCTGGCTGGCTACTGCTAATGGTTATTCCGGCGCTAAGCGAGTCTCGGTAGTCGGTAGATGAAGTCATGAACGGATGGTCTGTAGCCATCCCGGAAGAAATAGGGTATAGTTCGCCGCCCTGGTAACCCGTACGACTTACGATCTGAAGAAATAGACCAGGTACACATACAGTCATACACATACTGTACAAAGGCAGGTTGATTTCTTTTTCTCTATTTTTGCCTTCCTCTGACACATGCAGCCATGCATCATGATCTGGATCTCAACGGCCCATCACAGCATGTTCTACGATACTGTGTACTCTTACGGAGAAAGAAGGCGAGATCGTAATCCCTATCAGATGTCATACTTATATCAGATCATATTATAAGATGTGCAAGTAAATGGATCAATCCAATCCTCTGTCCCCGCATGCGACCACCTGACACATTTGTCCGGTCATGTGCAGAAATGGCATCATCTTGCATCAACGTCTCATGACTGCGGCTCGGCGGTTTTGCTTTGCCCGCTTCGTCCTGTAATTCTGACTGCTCACTGCTCACTCAATTCACTATATAATCACGTCATGCTGGTAGCTCACGACTTCGATCCAACGGGATAATAGTAGGTACATACATACATACAGTTAAACACTCAAACAGCCGCCAAATCAAATCAAATCAATTATTATGCAATTGGGAACCCAAAAGACTCATCCCACCGATCAACAACCCGCCATGCCACTCATGCTGCCGTCGTAAGAACATAACTGGTAAATAAAGTTAGCGCCGTCGAGTCGATCAGAGGATCCTTCTCACTCACGAGGTGATGCTGTCCATCCGTTCCGTGGTCAACTTCAGACTGACCGTCAGCAGCTCCCGCGCAACCTCCGGTTCGGCCTCCCGCAACGCCTGCCACTTCTCTGCACTCAGACACCAAGCCACGCAGTCTTGCTCCGCCTTGACCGTCGCCGTCCGTCGGGTCTCGCTGAAGAACGGCAGCTCGCCACACGGTCGCCCGGCCACGATGAGCTCGAAATACCGCCCCTGTGGCAGTTCATACTCCGCGCGTAGCATACCCGACTCCAGGAGATAGAATGCCTGGGGGACGTCGCCTTCTTCAAACAGGATGGTGCCTGCGCTGTAGCTTTCGCGAGCGAAGTACGTGCAGGCCGAGAACCAAAAGTCCTCGTTGCGCACGCTCAACCCTTGGAATGTCTGCAGGAGGAGAGGGAGCGGTTGACGCATCGCCGACCATGCCGCCGGAACCATCACGGCCGTCTCGTCTTCACGAAGGGTCGTGGTAGCAGCCTGCTGCAGGTACCGGTGGCGGGGTGAGCTCACGATCGCGTCGTGCATCTGATGGGCCGAAGGTGGCGCAGGAACCTCCAAGAAGGCCGGCGATGCTTTCTTCTTCAGTAGAGCTTCGCGATGACTGTAGAACACTTTGAGATAGTCATTCTCGCAGAACTCTAGAGCCGAGTTGAGGTCCTCAAAGATTTCCACGTCGTTCTCAGGCGCAAAGAGTTCAACATTTTGAAGGCTGCGGCCTACGTCGCCCTGTACGTCCAGCCCTGAAATGATTATCTGCACGTTTCGCTTCCGAAGCACCCGGTTGATGCGCGTAAAGGCCTCGGCCGCTGAGAAATCCATGCCGTACACACGAGTGAAATCGAGAATCAGGAACCGAATCGGGCGTCGGTTGAATGACTCCTCTTCGATGAGACCGCGCATGGTATTCTCGACATTGACGATAGTTCCGAAGAATAGATAGCCGCCGAGTTTGGTGATGAGAGTCTGCTGGCCTGCCTCTCTCAAGAACCGTTGTTGGATAGGAGGTCGTCGGACCGTGGAGCCCGTGATCTTGCCGGAGAACGTGGCTCGGATGGCCGACTTGCGCGAGGTTTGGACCACAAAGCTCATGCATGCCAGAATGATACCAATAAAGATGCCGACGACGAAATCCCAGGCACCCATTGTTACGACAATGATAACAACCTCCTCAATTTAGTCGGCGAATCCTACCAGAGAATGATGGGTTCAACTTACCGTCACGTATTCGTGGCGATGCAACTTGCCCCAAGTGTCAACCAAAGCCTCCTGCATCAGCTCGATGCCCAGCATGAATATGAGAGCTCCCACGACCATCACCGGGATGAATCCGACGATCACTGGACCGATGAGAAGGATGCCTCCGGTGGCAGCCGCAAGCATGATTCCCGCCAGGCGATTATTACCTCCACTATCAATGAACAACAGACTGTTGGTATATACAAGGTAATTCTATGAACTCTGAGTTAGCAATGCCTAGTCACATACTGCTCGAATTAACCGCAAGCCTACCTGTATGCTGCCTGCAAACCCCGACAAGGCATTGGTCACTCCATGGGCCATGAGCTCACGGTCCACGTTCAGGTTATCCTCGCCTGTGGATATTCCAAGAGCCGGAACATTGATAGGAACATGAAGAACCCCAAAGAAGGTGAGGGCAAACATAGCAGGAATAGTATCCACAAAGGCAGTCCAATCCACGGCGCCGAAATCTGCGACTGTCAGGTTGTGTAGCTCCAATGGCCGGAGGAGACTCACCATAAAGTGTATAGAAATGCCACCAGGGGTTGGAAGATGACGGAGCATCGAATACCCACCCGCTTTGGCGTAACGCATCCATGGATACCCTCGCAGCAAGTTTGACAATGTAGAAGATGATAGCTACGCCGATGAAATAACCACCCACCAAGAAATTTGAACGCACAAAGCGCTTGAGAACAAGAAGACCAACCGCAAGCAAAACGGGAATCATCCAAAGAAATACAGTATCCAACTGGAAGAGCTTCTGCAACGTAGGAAGCGTATACTCAAGAGAACCAGGCAGTCGAGCCGACACCTCCACGCCGGTCTGCATGAGGAAGAAGCCCACACCACCAATGCAGCCAATCAGAATGTGTCTGGGGAAGAATCCAATCAGAGACCCCAGCCCACACGTCCCCATCAAGAAGAATACTAACCCTGTCAGGATCGAACTGACAGAGAAGGCCAAGATGCAGGTCGCCAGAACCGACTTTGGGTTATCCTGACCAACGCGCGCTAGAATGGTGAAAGCCATCTGATGAAAGAAGGGAACGACTTCTATCATCTCACTGCCTATACCTCCACGGAAGATGGACCCTCCGCACGAGAAGACCAGTTGAGAGATAATGGTACTGACGTAAAACATGGAGATGCCGTCCGACCCCAGCTCGGAGAAGATCGGCTCTCCCAAGGGAAACAAGATCATACCGTACGAGAGAGCATCGAGGATATTGAGCAAGAGGCCGAGGAACACGGACGGAAGCAGGCTAACCGGCTCAACGATACCTCTCTGCCACACGGTCCGCCTATCCCACGACTTCGGATTACTCAACACCCGGAAAGTAAAAGCAGCGTTCGAAAGAGTTTTATAAAATGCATTCAATCTCGGATCGAGTGCCACACCCTGCCTCTCAACGTCTTCTGAAATTCCGTAGTTACGACTGTTTTTTGACTGCGAGGATCTGGGGAGTAAGGAAGTTCGTTCGTTGATGGGGGCCTGATGCACGTCGGTTGTGAGAGCTGGAATCGGGTTGGAAGCCCCATTCTCATCAACGCCATCCCCTGATGTGCCGCTGGCCCTGTGGCATAAATCACTTTCAGGGTAGTCGGACGGACTCCGAATCATCTCGGTCAAAACCGAGGATCCCGTAACAGGGCCCGGAAGCGGCGTGATGTCAAGAGGAGCCGACATTTCAGGAACTACAGTATCAGCTAGCGATGAAGAAGAAACAGAAGATGAAGAAGAAGCGTTAGGTTGAGAGGCCTGGTGAAAGATATCCAAAGACGGGGGAAGCGTGCGTTCCTGTGGTAAGGAGCTTCCATTAAGCGACAATGCAAAGGATGCCAGCTCGGCCGTTTGCTCTCGGAGGCCATGGGATGAATAGTGAGCCGGGTCTAAGCCAGCTGGTTAGCATACTTACAACGACATTACTCAAATTCGAGCTTCCATGTATGGCATCGCACCTTGGGTATGGTTGAATGACCGGTGATAAAAGGAGCGGGTCGGGGTCCTGTAACTGCCTCCACCAGACCCCGAGGATTCAATCCCCAGAGTTCGAGGAGGACTGCCACCGTTGGCCTGTTCAACGGGAATGTTAATCGCGTCTCGATCCACGCTGTTGGGGAGAGAGGAGCAGCGTGGAGACAGCCGAGAAGCGCATGAATCACTCCGACCTCGCGATCGGAAGACTCCCATCGTGAAGGACGCCGGACAGGTCAACGCCCAGGTTTTTTGATAATCTGCACTTGGAATCACGCAACGCCGACCCCGCAAGAAAATTGACCTGGTGGCTTAAACTTCTTGATAACATTGGTTGGGTGCGGAGAAGAGATGATGGCTGATGACGCAAGTGTCAGGCAGAAAACCAGGGGCAATTGGCATCGCTATGCTAAGGGGACATTGTGCGGGAAGAAAGACAACGAATAACGATAGAAAAGAAGGATATCGATGAGGAGGAAGCTGTTGGGGCGAGAGAGAAAATGACGAGGTGGGCGAGAAAGCTAAGCTAAGGTAAAGCAAGGAACTGTTATCGGAGGGTGACTAAAAAAAGTCTTATCACGGGTTTATCACCGCTCCACCCGGGGCTGCCTTAGTCGCCTGGTCTAGCCTGTCATTCTAGAGAATGGAGTATTATGGGGCGAAAGAAAGCGAGTGGATTTGATTTCTACCGTGTACGTTATGCTATCAGTGACTGATGGATTCGGGCCCATGGCCACAAAAATTCTCCGTTGCTATCGTATTTCCGATCGAGTGGGGTCTGGTATGAGGCCATTCGTCTTGATAGGCCACTGCCAATAGCCTCATATCACGGACCAACGAGGTAATCGCCGGGTATTTGCTTGCTTTTTACGCGTATGAGGTGGGAAGCTAATGCAGGCCTTAGGCTGTTTCTGGATGCAGCGCCGATCATGCAGCTATGTGTCGTATTTCTTAGTCAAAGTAAATCCTGATGTCGACCGTTCCACCAGAATACTTTGAACGGTTTTTGCACCGGATCTATCGGATTAATATACAAAAAGATTGGGTATCACAAACTGAAATAAATCACCATTAAACAATCCGCAAGAATCGGTCAATTTAATCGCTCCAGAAATCCCTGCGCAATTAGTCTTTCCACATCACCCTGCCGTACGTACAATTGACTGTTTTTCGTCAAATTGATAACCCTGATAGAACGTTAGCTCTCAAATTTCCCATTGGGAAAACAAAACCAGCCAGGGGACTAGGTTTAAGCAGAAAAATGACGATAAAAGGACAACATACCCATATTCCGTCTGAATCTCCCCCGCATCCTTCAACACTCTCACATCAATAAACAGATCCTTCGGAGGCTCCAAGCTCCCCGTAAGATCAATCTCCGTCCATTGTCCCTTATACGCAGCCAGCATGTCACTATACTGCCTAAAATACTCCTCTTCCTCGGGACTCAGAGAGCTATGATTCCCCGCTTGCGCATTCATGGGCCCCGACGACGCTCCCTGGCCATCTTCAGCCGGCTGCTGCTGTTCTAGCACGTCGATGCCGGTCCAGCACAGTTCTTCGAGTTTGTCGGTCCGCACGCGGTGGTAGGCCAGGAGACATCGCTTGTTGCGGCGCGTGCAGAGGTGGTCGACGAGGAGGGCGCATGCAATGTCCGGCTGAGAGGAGGGATTGAAGCTTCCTTCGAAGGGCGCGAGAAGACGAGCAACGTCGCGATCTAGTTCGCGTACTTCGCGGGCGACGGCGCGGACCAGTTCGGACTGGTAGGGTGGGAGGTGGGCGAGCGATTGGGTGCGTTTGGCATGTTGGACCTAGAGAGAGCGGAGTCAATCATAAGTGAGCAATGAAGAAGGTCAAGCGATTGAGCGTGATGAGACGTACCAGCTTATTTCCGTGTTCGCCGTACATTGAGGGGTCGACACAAACGGGTCTTTTGATGATCGAATGGAACTGATTGTAGGACTGAGCTGTTGATGGGTGTTGATATGTATGAGGTTGTTAAAAAGCCCCAGACTATTAGATTGTAATTGAATTATAATACTTATTTGAAGTGGCGAGGTGATGAGGTGGGAGAAATGGACTTGGAATATCAAAGCATCTGAATCTCCAGCGATACGCGTGATCCCCGCCGCTCCGGACTCCACGTGATGGAGCGCGCCAAGCCTTCTCCTGTACGGTGCACATTGAATGAAGGCATAGGGATTTAAAATGATACAAAATCTTCTCAACTCGCCATTGATGTTCCAAGGTCGATAGGCTCTCAATGTAGAAGGTGAGTTTTGTCATCAAATATCTTACTCTTCAAGTTCTTTTCGATTTGATAACCTTGGTACATACAACGTCACTCGACATCTATATTGCCCTCAAATGTATTCACTACATCACACTCTACACTGAAGACAGAGGGAGAAAATATACTAGATCCGATTGATATCTCCTGTATAACGAATGGAACTCATATTGAATTCTATCACTAAAAACCACCGAGACGCAAACATATAATAACCACAATTACTGAAAGCAGAATCCCACCCTTGCCACAAAAAAAAACTGTTACAATCATGCCACCCAGAACGAAGCGAAAGATTAACAAAACCCAGAGAAGGGGAGGGGAGCCCAGGTAGAGAATGAAGACAAAGCAGGAAATGAGAAAAAACAAAAAGAAAATACAAACAGCGCCGGGTCTGAATCAACCAGGCTTTGAATCTCCAATAAACGAAAAGGTATTCCAGTCCCAAAAACAAAGAGCCTACCCAAATTATTCAAGTAACGATGGCATATACACCATAATGAACGATTCCGTCAAGGCTCGTGACTTTCATCATAATATCACCACTGACATCTCAGCACATACCACAGGGAATCTACCCTAGTATCCTGATTGATGAGAGTTGATCCAACTGTCAAATTCACCACCGGTTTCCATGGATCCATCGTGGTTCGGATCCCATGCCTCGCGACCATCCATCGCAGCCGCCGACCCTGGCTGGTATGAACCAGGCTGGTATGCTGACCCCGACTGGTATGCCGATCCGGCGGGGTAGTTCAGAGAGGTGGGAGAGAGCGTTGTGGGAAGATACAAGTTGTTCGCCGCGGTTTCATGCCACGCCGGAAAATGAGAGTTGCCGTAGGCCGGACCGCCATTTGAAGCATCACCTTGGTATCCCAGCAACTGGGGGTCTAGCTGTCCATCAGGCCCGGCCCCGGGAGCCGTTGGCGGCTGAAGAAGCTCATGGTGGGCTGCTCCTGGCAACCCAGCCAAGGCAGTGGATGTTGTGTACTGGACATCCTGCAAGCCCACCCTCCTGAATCGAACATCTTCGACGTGAGAGCCCATCAGACTGGGAAGGACAGTCTGCTGCATATACTGGGAAGGCTCGGGAGGGGACATCATGCCCGGGGCTGGTCTTCCGGGGTTGCTGGAGTGCCAGGAAGAGTTGAGATAGCCTCCTGTGGGTAGACCATGATCAACGAAACCAAACGGGGTCGAGCCACGGCTGTCCCATCCGCTGCCCAGGTCTGAGCTGACGGACCGGGCGGTATGGCTCGAGAAGGGACTAGACTGTGACGCGCCTTCGATGCACTGGCGGCGATCAATGTCCGGCGTTTTGTCTCGCTTCTTTTTGTCCTTCTCGGGCGTGAAACGGTATCCCGGGTGGGCTCTCTCGTGGTTGATCTTCTCAATCTTTGCCAGAACCTCATACTTCTTGCGGATTTCAGGCGGCTCAAGTCTCCAGCTTTCTCCTGCCGTCCTTGATACAACCTGATGGTTGCTTTGGGCGAACCATGACTTGGCCCGTTCGGCATAAGCCGACCGATAGAGCATGAATGAATTCATGGGACGGGCAATCTTGCCTTTCTCTTTGGCTACTTGCTGACGGACTTCGATCGGTCGGTGAACCCACTCTTCCATGTCCTTGATCGGCACCCCGGTCATGTGCTTGGTCAATTCGCTTAGTGGACCAGGCATTCCGGGGTAGTCCATTTTCCTCTGCTTACCACCACCCCTACGTGGGGACCTGGGTGCCTTCCTGAGCCTCGCCTTTGGGTGAGGCCTCGATCGGGCCGGAGGGGAAAGCCACTGTGATGGCGATGACGAACCACCGCGGAGGAAGTCGTCGTCTGAGGTATGAGGTGGTGTTTCCACCTGGATACCATTTGGGATCATCTGAGCTGGAGGCAGCGGCATGGTATGCGAGAAAGGGGAGTTATGATATTCCTGAGCTCCGGTTAGAGAAACTGGGAAATCTTGATGGATAAGGGGTTCGGGATTCAAATGCTCACCATAGATGACTGGGAACTACTGCCGTAAGTGGCCTCGGCAGGTACACCGTTTCTGTGGAGCGCAGAAGAATCAACAGCACCAGGTTGGTTGTACCGAATGACAATGCACGGATTCTGAAGAGGCTCAGGCGTGGCCCCGCCCGTGGATTGGGGAGGAGAGGGAGGATGGCCAGAGAGAAATCCTGTCGTGGCCGTCATATCGTTTCTTTTCTGATGGGGAGAGCCCCGCGGCGCAAACAGTCGGCTATTCCGATTCTTTTACCCTTCTGTTTTTCGGACCTTGGCTTGTCAGATGAAGTCGCCGCCTGATTGCAAAGAGACGTCGGCCGTGGTCAGAGGAACTTGATCGCGCAGAAGCGGCTGGGAAGGAGCCAAAAGAGGAGTAGACCGCAAACACCAGGATATTCGGGGAGAGAAAGAGGAAAAATTCAGAGTGAGAGAGGAACAACGAGAGCAATTGTCACTGTACTGATCCACTCGGTGGAGGACTCTGCATGAGGCTCTGCCTGCGAGACACCAAACCACGGTCACAGGGTGTCTAAAAGATGGAAATCAAGAAACGGAAGAAAGAAGAAGAACAAAAGACAGGTGAGACAAGCAAGCCTTCTTATTTGTTCGGAGAGGAAAAGGTTTGGTCGAAGGGAAGCAAAAAAAGAAAGAGAGAGATGGGGAGGGAGAACGAAAGGTAATCAGAGACAGAGAAGAAAAAGGGAATTAACAGGTGAGTACAACGAGGAAGTCAATCAGTCAGTCAGTGTCCAAGGTGTATCCACTATCAACCAACTGCTATAGGGGATGTTTTATGTTCTACCCGAGAGGATCTGCAGCGACGAGCAGCTTCATTATAACATAAAATACAACGGCAGGCGGGAAGGAGGCGGGCTAGGAGCAAGCGATGAATGATGTTGCAGACAGTCGTTCTAGATGGCCGTCCATCCATGGAATCCCAGCGGCTGAGACCCTGACTCAGGCCCAAGAAAAGTCCACCTTGTTGGCGGCGGCGGCGGTGTTTTCCTATTCCTGCTTGGGGATGGTGATGGCGCTGTCTTTGTCCAGACTGCTGGGACTGAGGATGATTGGAGGGCAGAGGGGATTTATTTTCTGGCGAGAGGATTTTTGATTCGAAGAGGGGAGGAGGAAATTATTTATTATTATTATTATTATTATTCGGATTTATTTATTTTGTGTTATTTTATATTTTACTTATTCCAGTGTTTTATTTTATTTGATTTTCTCTCCCAGGATTATTTCCTCTCTCCCTCTGATTAGTGCGTCCATAGATTGAAAATCGATCTTGATATTTTTATCCCTCTTTTATTATCAGTTTCTTGACATCGGTGTTTCCACTCCCCCCCCCTTCCCTCTCTCCTTCTCCCTCCCTCTTGTCTTTGTGCCAAATTCAGATCTGAATGAATGCCTGCTTCAGGAAGGTTTCTAGATCTCACCTTACAAGGCTTCCCAAACCAAATGCGGCCATTGAAGAAGATGAAGCCAGAGTCGCTCGCTCTCTTTGACCCGATCTGAAACTCTCCCCAGACGCAAGAACCATTGTAGGCCGCAATGCATGGGGAAAAAGTGACCAGGATGTCTGTATATTCTTAGGATCATGTTGTTATTCCTGGTAGCAGCTCGTTACAGGAAGTTGGGGAACCGCATATACTGTACTCCGTATATTGGCGCGGAATTATTAATAGGAATAGTCACTAGGGAAATTATGATGATGATAATTATTTTTTTTTTTTCAATTTAATATACAATTTTTGAGTTGTGTCACAGTCTAACGCTCAAGCCAAGCGTGTCACACATGGAGCAGGGCAGATCCTCATACCATTCATATCGTTAGTTTAATCTACGCTGGCCCCAAGGAGGCTTAGTCTCCTACAGAGGGGAGGTTTGGGGGGTGGATGCGCTTCGCATAGGCCCCAACCCACTGCAAATCTACCTAGTCCTGATGCACCTCGTACGAACCACTGTCCACTAGTTCTGGAGGGACCTATCAACAATCAGGAAATTATAGCGTGATCCCCGTGCAATTTAATTCTGAAAACTAATTTGAATTTGAATGGTTAGAATTGATGCCCTGCCCTTTTCCCATTCCAATCGCACATTTAATCAATTGAGAAATTACAATGGCCGCTTCATCTACCCATCTGTATTTTCCTCTCTACTCATCTCAAAGAAAATAGGCTCTTCCTCCGCCCTTGATCTCTCTATTGTTCCCCTCCAGCGCAGAATCTCCGTAGTCGCATCGCTTGTACTTCGAACAGTCTGGACTAAGCTAGTAGTCAGTAAACCCTACTACGCTCTCTGCAGGACATTTTGCCTTTTTCGCCCATAGTTCCTTATTCCTCATGACAGCTCCTTACCCATCCCTCCACCCATGGGTTGAGCAACACGAAGAAACGTCACCGATACCCCAGCATTTCCCGTCGATCTTTCTCCTCCGCCTAAGCCCCCCATCCCCCCGAGTTATCGTATGGGAGCTCGTGGTTAGCCGAGCGAAAAGGTTCATCCGGATACGCCCTCAACTCTGTTCATCCGTGGAACCGGCCTTGTCGGTTACCTTTTGCCTTTCCCATTGCACGTGCGGCCCTCATAACTTTAGTGCTGTTTCTACCGTGGATATCCTGACTCCGTGTCTATCCACTCCGTTCGTACGGAGTTCGGACAGAGGAGGAAGGTAAAGCAGCAGGCAGGTGCCAGGAGGACGACGACGAGGCCCTGGGCCAGACACACACACACACAGAGAGAGAGAGAGGGAAGATCTATATTGTTATTTTTCAAGTTCCCCACATCCGACCCAGTCGATCACCACTAGTAACGAAGCTAAGATGAGTCTGGGTAAAGCCCGAATGTCCGAGGGGGGAAACGCCCGGGGCCAGTGTCGGCGATCTTAATGAGTGGAAACGGCTCTGATTAGGCTGGATTCGGGTGCTGGCAGCTTGTCGGTGCCATGTTTTGGCCGCCAAACGGGCTCGCTCGTTTAGTTGGGAGGTGAGGTCCTCCGTACAGTAGCTCTAGTACCTAGTTAGTTCCGTTAGCTCAACAGTCGTAGGCAGGTATCCTGGTCTCTGAGGTGGTAATCACTTAAATTCTGCTGAGACGATGGATTACTACCTTGTCTGGTGAACCTGGTTAGGGCTTTGTTATCTGTGTACACTATATCTAGCTAGTAAGTAGAACGGTAGTAGATAACAATCTACTCCGTACTGCTCGTGTTAATACCCCATCGGAATGCCCACCCGGACAGATAGATGCACGACCAGAATTATTGAGACCAGTTCTTTCTCCTATCCCGTCCGCTCCCCTCCACCACTCGCTCATTGGAGTTTCTCGCCAGACAAGATAAAATCCTCGACCAGTCGTTGGGCGAAAGCCCCATGGAAATGACAATTACCCAGCGTGCGCCACCGCGTCGTGATTGGCGCGCCCACGGTCGGGCTGAAGTATCCGGCGCACTAGGAATGGTCCAGCAGATCATGGGTTGTCCATTTTACCCATTTTGTATAAAGTACTTCTCTCGAAGTGCCTACGGGGTGGTATCGATGACCGTATGATACACGCCACGGTACTTGGCCTGACGCGGAGAGTGCACAACGTAGGATGTACTGCAATGCACTTCTTGGCGGGTTGGGATCGTGGATATCTGGTGCTGCTGGGCTGGAGCAGATGTTCTTCCTCGATTTCATTTATTTTATCTCATTTTTGCTACATTTGATCCGGGTACTTGCTTTATTTTAATTTGCACTTTTTTCTCTTGCTGCTGCTCCACACCACCCTCCTTTCCCTCCTCCGTCTATATCTTATCTATTTTCTTTTTTGCAATTCCTTCAATATACATCAACTATACCCATGGGCGTTCCCTCTCCTCGGCTTCGCGGTGATCACGTGGAACAAAGAATTTTTCGTCAGGTCAGAAAGTCAAGCAGGTAGTCTCGTAGCTAAGAAGTATTGCCCAGACTGGCCCGTAAACTCAATGGCGGCTTCCAAACAGAGAGAAGAGTGAGAAATAAGAACGAAGGGAAAGAATAAAAATAAAATAAAAAATAACAAGAAAAAAAAAAGGCGGGATCAGACAACTTCCAAATAACTCGCACGAGAATTTCCTGTCCTGTCCTGTCATACAGAGGCGCACGAACTGGTATGATTATGATTGTGATGATAATAATATTTCTTTTAAATTGATCAACCTCAAGCGCATAGAGTCGGATAGGAAAGTCTTAGTATAATTGATGGAGGGTATATGCGTATCACTGTCGTCTGTACAGCCTTCACCCTCACGTCGCACCAAACGGTTTTTCTCTGTAACCATTCCCCTCCTCCCACGGGTCGGTGCCTAGGTAGGTGAACTAGGCAGTACCTGGGTTTTCTTTGCGCCTCCCTCCCACCACCTGCAGGGTGTCCAAGCCAGGATCAGTTGGTAACTCAACATGTGGCCGGCCACCATATTGCGAACCCTTTTTCTTTCTTTTCTTTTTGCCCCCCCTCCCTGCTGGTCCCCGGGGTTGGAATGGTCGAGGATGCAATGATCCCCGGGATTGTTGATTTTATCCACTAGGCTAGGTATGTGGCTCTATCAAAAAGCAAGGTATCCACTGCTGCTTATTTTCTCTTTCTTGGCTACCTACGCTGTGTACTGCACCATCATCATAATTATCATTCCTTGGCAATGTTTTTACTTCATATGCTTTAAAATCGTGCGTCTAAAAAAAATGGATGGATACCTCGGCCACCTCCGCCCCATCGCACCCTAAATCTTATTCAACCTGAGAGTTTTAAAACCCCCCAACCCGTGCGAGTAAAAATCCACTAGAGCCTCGATCGACATTAGCGCACGCCGTGCAGAGAGAGAGAGAGAGAGGGAGAGAAAGTAAGTTATGGAGGATCGGGGAGAGGAAGGAAGAATCACCCCCGACCCAGTAATGATCTTCCAATGATACGTACCTGTTAGTTGTTAGTGTTAGAATGTCTCCGTTGTTAGTTTTATAAATCGGCGTATAGACTTTTATGGCTTGCGCAGGAACCGAGCCTGAACGCCGGCCCTCTGCAGGTTATGATTCTTTTTATTTTTTTTATGTTTATATTTTATTCTTATTTCTTTTTTTTTTTTTTTTTTGCCCGATGTATTTCTTTTCTCTTTTTTTTTTTTCGAACTTGACCCGGTTTTGATTCCGGTCTGGGTTAGATTTTCTCCCTTCACATCTTTCTTTTCCTTTGTGTTTTTGTGTTTTGATTTTCGTCTATCCAACTCCTCCTTCCAACATACTCGATGCATAAGGTTTCTGTGGACTGTGGTGGATGTCAGAACCCTCGATGGCTGGTTCTATGGGACTTCCATGCCTTCTGCATCTTATCTTATCGGGCATGGAGGGAAAAAAAATGAAGTCCGTTTTCAATTGATGATACTCCTGCATTAGGGGATGGAAAGAGGCGTTGCTAGTGATTAGTACGGAGTAGTGGCTTACCTATACTTTCTAGGTACGGCATTTTGTTCATCCTTTTTTCCCCCCCTTCGTGTACTCGTTGCCTGCCGGAAAGTGCCGAATCCGAGGGCTAGAGAGTGTGATTCGAGACTCGGAGTTAAGAGGGTGACTGAGATGAATATGCCCCCCGGTTCCCAGTCCCCATTGCCACTAATTGTCGATCAATGCATCATTCTCATTTCCCCGTACGACATACTTACGTCTGCTTACTGTTAAGGTATAGGGGGTCCTGACTATCATTATAGACTGTACTTGGGTACTCAGGATGTATGCCTAGGTATGTACTACCTACCTCACTTCCGTACACCGGAGTAACACCTGCTGCCTACCTACCTACCTACCAACTCAATCTCGTATATTACGAGGCCGGATGGCACCGAGGGCGGTCATAGCGGCTCATCTGGCTGTTTCGATGAGGAGTAGTTACCTAGGTAGGTATGTCGAAGTTATCCTATCATCTACGAGTTCTGTCGAATACGATACGGCTCTCTCCGGCTTCCTTCCCTGCGTTAATCTAGGTAACTCCTCAACTCCAGATTATGTTCGTTTAAAGCCCGTATACAGTATCTCTGAGTATGTACCTACCCACCTACTTACCCACCCACCCACCTCCTCCATAGTATGCTACCTACAGGGTAGGGTGGATACCTCC